GAAAAGAAGAAGAAGAGGAAAAGAAGAAGAAGAGGAAAAGAAGAAGAAGAGGAAAAGAAGAAGAAGAGGAAAAGAAGAAGAAGAGGAAAAGAAGAGAAGGAGGGAAAGAAGAAAAAGAGGAAAAGAAGAGAAGGAGGGAAAGAGAGGAGAAGGGGCACAGGACGCCGGAAGGAGGGGCGAAGCCGACTCAACGCACGAGACATTGACACCCAGTGGCCGGTCTGCTCATCGAAGGACCACACCCGCGGCATGCCCTCGGTCGGGCTGAGAAGGAGGCCCAGGAGGCCAGCCAGTAGCAGGTACAGCGGGCAGCGGGAGGAGAACAAAAGCCCGCGGGAGGGGAATGCCAACACAGGGGGACGGAAACGTCAGTAAACAAAAGCCCAGTGCCAAGGTACGCCGCCAGCGCTGACCGGAAGGAATGCGCACCCGGTCAACAGGCGCCGGCCGTCACTGGAGAACTCCAACGAAGTAACCGGCCCCTCGTGGCCAACAAGACGGACCCCACACCGGGGCCACAAATACTGCATGTTGATGGCAATGTCTCGGACCCCGGAGGCAGGCCCCAGCTCCGGCAGCGGTGGCCAGGGGGCGCCCCCGCCGACGGTCATATGCAGCTGGTGTGCCGCAGCCAGGGCGGCCGCGCGAACAGGCCGCGCCGTGGGCACCGAGCTCGCATGGGACCCGGCCGTGGTCGGCGACTCGCCGAGCATCCCTCGCAGGGGCCCTCCCGGCGAGAGGGACTTCCGCCCGGGGGTCGGGGTCATGGGGCTGCCCGGGGTGGCGACCCCGGCGGACCCGGCCGCCATTGCCGCCGTCGGCAGGCACGCTGACGAGGAACCGGGCGACGAGGAGAAGCCCGCCGGGGAGGAGGGCCCCGGCGAAGAGGACGACGACGACGACGACAAGGAGGATGACGAGAAGAAGGAGAGGGAGGACGAGGTGGAGGAAAGGCAGGACCCCGGTGCGGAGGAGGGAGTGGCCAGCGTGGCGGTGAAGGTGGCCACGGCGGTCCCTGGAGGACCGGACGCGGCCGCGGCCGCGGCCTCCGCAGTGCCCCCCTCGGCCATGGAGCCCGATGGCTTGACACCGGCGGCCAGCTGCTCGGCCTCGGCCTGGTAGGCGTCCAGCAGATCGGCCGAGAGCGACCAATCGTCCGGGTCGCCGGGGTGCTCCGTGCTACGCAGGAGATCCGCGAAGTACGACCCACTGACCGCCAGCGGGTCGGTGATGCCGGACAAGTTGGTCGGGCCCGGGCTGGCACGCGCCCCGGGCCCCGGGCCGGGCGACCCGCGATCGCTCGCCAGGCAGCCGGCCACCGGCGACCCGGGAGGACCGGGCGAGCCGGCACGCGCCGCGGCCGGGGACGGCGATGCCAGGGCATTGGTCCCGGTGCCGGCCTCCGGCGCCAGCAACACCGGCAGCGTGGAGTAAAGCCGCACCGAGCCATCCGAGTAGCCGACCGCAATGCGGGTGCCTCCGGGCGACAGCCGGACAAAGTGCAATGACACATCCGGCGCCAGGATCGATGGTGGCCCGGCCTCGTCGGCCAGATCGACCATCGGGGTGGCGCTGGAGGAGGAGGAGGTGGTGGTGGTGGCGCTGGAGGCGGCAGCAGCGCCATGAGGCCCGGTAGGGCTGGCAGCCCCGGCGGCCGACCCGGAGGCACCCCCGGGGAGGGGCCGACCGGTCGGCGAGATGCGGTGCGGCCCGGCCCCGGGGTACGTCGGGCGGAAGAGGGCCGGCGCGCCGAGGACCTCCTCGCCCCCGGGGGCCAGAGTCCACAGGAGACAGGCGCCATCCTTGGACGAAGTGAGCAGATGCATCGGGGCGCCCGGCAGCGAGGGCAGGAAGCTGATGGACACCATGGAGCTGGTGTGCCCGCGAAGGACACACAGCGGCCGCCCGGTGCGCAGGTCCCACAGGCGGACCGTCATGTCGAGCGAGCAGCTGGCCAGCACGGTGTTGTCGGCATTCATGACGAGCTCCACGATTTCACCCTGTGAAGGTGGGCCGGGGGGTCAGCGAGGGGTGACGCCCGGGCGGCGGGGGAGGAGAGGGGGGAGGGGGGGGGGGGGGGGGGGGGGCCGGCGAAGGGGCACAACGCACCGTGTGACCGCGCAGGGTCATGATGAGGCGCAAATCGGCCAACGACCAAATCTTGATCAGGTAATCATCGGAGCCGGAGATGATGCGCTGGCTGACCCGGTCAAAGAGAACGCAATAGACCGCGCTCAGGTGGCCGCATGTGCTGGCCAGGTAGCGGAAGCGCCGCCCGGTGACACGAGCCGCGGGGCTGGCATCGGTGGAGGCCGGGTCGCCGGCCAGCCGGCGCGCCCCGACGCTGGCCCCGCCGCCGGCTCCGGCCAGGTGGAAAAATTGCCCATCCACGCCGACCGCCATCCGAGCCAGCGCAGGGACCCAGGCAGCGGCATTGCCCCGGAAGGGAGGCAGGCCGGCCCCGGGGAAATGCCCCGGCCCGGGGCTCTCACGCCGACGCAGCAGCAGGTCCCGCGCGTGATCCGACAAACCCGGGCCGGGAGGCCGCCCCCGCCCCCGCCCCCGCCGCCGCCGCGCGAGGAAGGTGGAGGTGGCCTTGCCGGCGGCGCTCGGGGACAGGTCCGACCCGGCCACCGTGGACAGGCCGAGGATCGAATCCCCCCGGCGCCGGTAGTCGGCCAGCAGGCGGTGCGACATGTGCTGGAGAAAGCGCCAGCCGGCCGCCGCCGGAGGGGCGGCCCTCTTGGCTGGCGACAGCCTCGCATCGGCCCGGTCAAAGTGAGCCAACACCGCCCGGCGCCCGGCATGGAGTTCGTCATCTTGCCGGGCGTCGGTGCTGGCCTCCCCGTCGGAGGGATCATCGGCCGGGCCGCCAGGACCATCGTCATCGCTGCTGTCGGTCCCCTCCTCGCCGAGGGCCACGATCGGCGGGACCGCCAGCAGGGGACGAATGTCCAGCGGAAAGGCCGCCGGAGGGGTGCCCCCGGCCGGGGCACTGTGCAAATCGGAGGAGGCTGACCGGATGGCGGCCGAGCTCCCTCCCTCGGCTGGCCGGCTGAGCGGCCGCGGCACCGGCCGAGGGAGAGAGTCATACCACAGTCGCCGCGAGGGGGCCGCCTGCGAGGTGCCGAGCGGCAACTGCACTGCCGCGGCGTCGGGCTGTGGGACCTGCATGTCCAATGTGATGGTGGGGGGAAGGGGGGGGGGGGGGATAAGAGGAAAAGAGAGGGAAGGAGGGGGAGGGGGGGGGGGGCAAGGTGGCCCGATCGGCCCTTATCACTGGCCCAGGGGAATGCGCGGCCGGGGCGGGGGACTGGAGGCGGGTCGGCTGTTCACCGGACCCAGCCGTGGGAGGAGAAAGGGAAGGGGAGGGGGAAACTGAGTCGCAGGGTGCGCTCTCAGCAGGGGAGACAGGGCTGACAAATCGCGCCCGTCCTGGAAGGGGGGAAACTGGAGGGGGGGGGGGGCGGGGAGGGGGGGGGGGGGGGGGGGGGGGGGGGGGGGGGGGGGGGGGGGAAGGGGTTGAGGTGGGGTGCCGGCGGGGCGCGCGGCGTCCCGAGATGCTGAGAACTAACTCTTGACCCGGCGGGCGATCCCGGCCACTCTGTCGGAGATGATCGATCACCGCACCCCGTGCGGCGCTCTCTAGGACTTCGGGTCTCCTCCAGGGGGGTGGGGGGGGGGCGCAGAGTGACCCGGGGAAGGGGCGGCAGAAACTAACGCCGGCCCGGATACGCCCGCGCTCGTACACCCACGTACACCTGTTTGTGCCGGGGGGGCCCCCCCCCCAGGGTGGGCTTGTGCCCGATCCCCCAGGTGAAGTCCAGACCGGCCGTTGGGACCAGCCGCAGCTCGTTTTTCGCCCAGCCCCCCCCCCCCTGCCCCGCGGTCCGGGACATTCGGAAAAGTAACGGGGCGCCTTTGCGCGAGCGTCCCGGCGCGCGCGCGCGCGCGCCCGCCCGCCCGCCCGCCCGCCCGCCCGGACAAGGAGCCGGCCGCCCGGGCCCGAACAAGGTCGGAAATAACGCCCAATTGCCTGGGCTGGGCAGGACCTGGCGGAATTTAGAATAGGCCTTTTTTATTTTTCCATTTCACGCACCCCGCCGGTTCTCCACCAGCCGGAGCCAGGAGACAGGGAGCAAATCGGGGCGAGAGGGGCGGACCGTGCGCCATTTGGACATGATGTCCTTGAAGGCGGTCGGATCGTTGGCAGCTGGCGCCCGGAGCTTGGTGCAGCCCGGGCGCCGAGTCACGCGCTGTTTCCTCCTCCCACTCGCCGCCGCTGCCGTTGCCGCTGCCACCGCCGCCGCCGCCCCCTGGTACGGCCTGCTCGCGGCGCGGCGCGGCGCAGCGGGGCCATTCCCCGGGG